GGAAACCGCCGGCGAGACAGATTCTTGTGCTTGGTGAGGAATTGCGGCCGACGATGATGGACATGGCCAGCAAGCTCGCGGCAGACGGGTGGTTCGGCTAGGATAAACTCTGGTCCAGTCGTGAGGAAGCGGCTGTGACCTCTCGCCGGTGCACCAACGGGCTTGGCTGGTAGCAACGATCTAGGCCGTTGGAGTGATGGCAGCTTGTGCAACTGTGAGCAATGGTCCAGCTCTGAGGGCGATTCGCGATAGATCAAATGAGAGCGACGACGAGCATGGGCCTGATGGCGGTGCAGCGATGATAACTCAGTTGACATCGGCCAGTGAAAAGAACGGTGATGGCCAACGACTGTGGCTGGGCTTGATGGCAGCCGGCTCGGATGGATTCTGTTCCGGCTGAGATGACGGCGAATTTTGGTTGAACTCGCTGTGGGCTTGATGTGTAGCCAGTGATGGGTGAAGATGGTTGGTTTGACTGCAAAATGTGCGTCATACCGGATAGCAAGCTCTGAGACGAGATCAAGATGTCCATTGCGAGAACGTTCATTCCGGTTTGTATCAATGAATTTAAGTTTAGTCTCCTCCAAGGCAACCTTGGATGTCTGTGTCAACAGAGACTGCCTCAAGGTGACAACCATAATGGGGGAATCCTCCCATTGGCGTGATATCCTTCTCAGTCTAAGAACTTGGCTGAATAGACAAACATATCTGATAACATGCATAAACTTACTTTGGGGAGAGAGAAATTCGGTCATATCAATGCTTCCCAACCCCAATCGATTTTCTAATTCTTTGCATAGTTCTATACAGATCACTGTCAGGTTTGGGATTCCCAGAAATTGTGGCCAAAGCAGCAAGAATTGCCGGAAAAAGTGTTTCGGGTAATTCAAGTTTTTTCAAAAACATGAACTTATTTTTAAAATTATTTTTTGAGATCAACTTGGCTTAATAAACCTGAGTTCAGATTAGTATGAACCAACAAATATATTTTGCAATAACTGAGATCCTAACATACTGATCCACCTAAAAACCCTCTGTTCATGTGATGTAATACTCAAAGAATAATATGATAGCAACAAAGCAAGACTAATTAATCACTTCTAGCTAGCGTTTATATAATAATTATGCATGTTTGGATTTGTTGATCAAGATGATATATATATAATCAAAATTAAGAGGAAACCAAGATTAGAACACTTATCTGATTAATTTATGCCTTTTTGGGCTCGGATGGACATCTGATTACCAAGGCCAACACACATGATGCCTCTTGGGTTTTCCATTCATCATCCTTGCTACGCATTATTGTCCGCAGCCTTGCTATGCATTATTGTCCAAAAAACGACGTTTTTGATGGAAAGAACCTTGCGGGCCGACTTGCGTTTTTGGACGTCGGCGCTTGTTACATGGAGGCCTTTGACCATGATAGTGAAGGCATTTGACCATGAGAGTCGTTGTTGGAGAGGACTTGGGTTCAAATCCTGGAGTTGAAGATTTTAATTTCAAGTCACGTTGCTAGACTTGGAGATTTTAATCTGAAGTGTCGTCTTGAAGATTTTAATTTGAAGTGTTGTAACTTTGGTGGGGATATATTTTTATACGATTCCCACAAACGGCGCCAAAGTGTAGGTGCAAAATTTCGCTCAACCAATAATGATTGAGAAAAATAAAACAACTCACTCAAAAAGTAATAAAAATAAATAAGAAATAAGAACAGTGTATAGAGAAGCGTAGAATTCCTTGGATCCTTTTATTGGAGGTTTGGGCCTCTATTTATACACAAAAATTGGTAGAATTAAGGTGGGACTCGCGTTGCTTGTCCTCCAATCCTTCCCATACATGACTTTCTTTACAAATAGAGTTCTTTCTATTATATAATATTTCCTACGCAGAACTTGCCTTGTATAGAACTTCCTAGCAAAGAATTCTCCTTTTATGACAAATCCTTCTACCGATAGGACTTGTTCAATCTTGGAAAACTGGGCTGAATATACCTTGAATCAGTTGGGCTTGAATAATGGGCCGGATGTTTAATATTAACATGTTGGGCTGATAATCTCTTGATCTGGGCTTCAACAGGGCTGAAGGTCAAATAACAATAGTATTGGGCTTGTGAACAGTGAACTTGGACTAGTATCAAACTCAATTTGGGTTTGATCCGGATGGGCTTCTGAAATCTACCAAATGTAGATTTATATAGTGATGACGTGTTCAATGCTCATTGGAGGGGATTTTTTCCCTCCACACCCTCCCAAGAAAAGTATGTAATAGTCTTAGGGAGCCATCCACCGACTGTGGGACATCAGTTAAAGATTGAGTCTGGAAAATCCCACTCTCTCTGGATCCACACATCCTCGGCTGATCTACCAAAGCCTCAAAGAGTCGACACTCTCTCTGCAACTAGAGCTGTGATTAGGCACAGACCTGGACCTGGACCTGGACCTGGACCTGGACTAGTGCCCCCTTACTGAATTTTTTATATTTTCATTTTAGACTTCAATTTTTTTAGAATTTATGAAGATGTCCCTACTAAAATTACAATTTGCCCCCATTGAATTCTTCTTCTTTTTTTTTTTTCTTTTTTTTTTTTTTACATTTTATACTTTAAATTTTTAAAAATTTATGAAGCACTAAAATTACAATTTGCCCTATTGAATTAATTTTTTTTCACATTTTATATTTTAAAATTTTAAAAATTTATGAAGAAAACTTCATTACAATTACAAAAATGGACCCACCATATAAGTTTGCCCCAAAAATTAAAAGATCACCCCCTCACAAAATTTTCTGGGTGCGTCACGGACTATGATCTCATTTTGGTTAGAACATGAAACCTTATAATGATAAGAATATAGTCTATCATTTCTTTCTGGTCATATAACAACACGGAAGCCCCAAAGCAGCTTAATTGACCAGAGTTCTTTTTTATTTCCAGCCTTTCGTAACTGAGGCAGCCCAACACAAAAATTCTAGAAAATCATTGGGCCAGGAGTGATTTGGAATGGGACATTTGGCCATATTGTTGGCCAATAGTTGGTTTTTCCTTTTGTAGTTTCTTTTGTTTTGGTTGCCAGCCAAATATATATATACACACGCACGCATAAGTGACTGTCCATTGACAGTCGCAGTTATACGCGCATATCTCCATATGAATTGATTAAAAAAAGAGAAAAGAAGAAAAGAATAATTTAAAAAGGTATTTTTATCTAAATATTAATGTTAGTAGAGCCCATAAAAATGGAAAGTCAAAGTAATTAATGCATTTAAAACTAACCAATCTTAACTGTGAATGGACAATCGTTTGGGCGACTGCAATTAGCATTCCATATATATATATATATACACATACAGTTTATATATATATATATATATATATTCATGAAAATTCCATAGTTTTTTTTTTTTTTTTTTCAGTAAATATGAATGGACACCTTACAAAGTTATAAATTATAATCACAGTTTTGTCAGTCCAAATTAGATTAAGAAAAAACCTAACCTTGATATATTCTACATGTTTTTATTTTCTAGGATTATAGTTCTGCATAAATCTTGTTATTTATTTATTTTTTATTTTTAAAAAAAGGATAATTTATCTCACTTTTGTTCTTTGTCTCATTTTTTTTATTTTAAAAAATGAAAAAAATAAATAAATAACCAATTTATCGCACTTTTCTCCTTTGTCCTCTTGTTGTTGTTTTTTTTTTATTATTTTTTATTTTTTTTTTTTTTGACAGCATAAACAAAACATTTTCATTATGCCTTGTCATTCATTCAAATTTCATTTTTAAAGGAGTAACTCATGCATAATACATCATGCACCCAACATTGCATGATACATCATGCACTCAACATTATATTAGATGATATAATAGATTATTTTGTTTTATATAATTTGAGAGAATTTAACTTTGTAAATATGTTTCTCATAACAAATAAAATTTTTTGACTTTATTGACAGGAAACTAAAATTATTATTTATTTCTTTGATAGTGTGTTACACTCAAATGGAGATATTTTGAGTGTTAGAGATTTTGTGCTGGTAGTCAATATAAATTTTTAACTTTTTCCCTACAATTCTCGAATTATCTATCTTTTACTTTATAAAATTTTATTTTATAGAGAAATAAATGTTAGCACTCTTGAATTTGTTTTTTTATTAATTTGTGAATGTTCGAATGAATATCAGTCTCCAAATTAATGGTACAAAACACATTAAAAATAAAAAGAAATTGCCTTATTATTAAATAAATGTGGCGGGTGGCTCACACACGTCTAGTAAGACAAAACAATCAGCTTTCCAAATTAAAACAAATGGTTAATTATACAAAACACTCTTAAAAATAATAACAAAATACCCTTAAAAATAATAACAAATTGCATATAAGCTTAGAAATAAGGCAGTTGCTAGAACTACGACATTCCTACTAATGGTCTCACAAAAGGTGTTGGGGGCTCCCAGGACAATCAGCTTTCCAAATTAAAACAAATGGGTAATTATACAAAAACACCCTTAAAAATAAAAATAAATTGCACGAAACACTCATTATTAAAAAAGATTAAAAATTCGGTCTCACAAAAGGTGTGGAAACTCCGCACACTTCTTGTGAGATGGGGACAAATTTACACTGAATGATTTAAAACCCTGATCAAATTTAGTTACATCTGCCAGTGTTCATCTAAGAAAATTAATGATAACATTAATCAATTAATCACCCATAATAATTATAAATGTACTTAGTATTACTAACATCCATTCAGATAATCACTGCGGTAAAAACAACTGGATAGTGGTTATGTAGTGTGTGTAAATTGTGTGCGTATATTATATAGAATGTAGATGACCGATAGGCACTATCAAGTTTCCTAAACTGCTAGATCCCCTGTTCCCGCGCAATCACGCTTATCTCTCTTTCTCACTTTCTCTCTCTAGACTCCATTCCGTAGATATTATCAGTGAAACCCTCTCACACACACTAAACTCTCTCTGACACACGAATGAGATGAGGAACACAATGCTTCGAAGATATTACGATTCACTCGTTAATAGGAAAAGTGGAATCGCCGGCGGTGTGATTCGATCCCCGATCTTCATTTTCAAACTCTTCGCCTCCGCAGCCTTCGTCTTCTTCATTCTCTATGTTCTCTTCATTTCCTCCACCAAACCCTCCCATTTCACCCTCGTAACTACCATAACCCCTCCTGTATGTGCATTCTCACTCCCGCTCTGTATATACTGTGTGTATATTAAACATATATATGTGTATGTATATATATGTTCTAACATTGTTTCTGTATTTCTATGTGCACTAACGGTGTCTTCTTTGATTCTTATGTGCATTTTCACACTCTCTGTATATAAAATCCATGTATTTATAACATTTTCTCTGTATTTCCATGACGGTTTTTTTTAGGGCTTCTCTGATGATTCATATGTCATATATATACACACACAATATTGTGTCTGTATTTCGATCTGTAGACTGTTTTTTATTATAATTATTTAGGATTTCTCTGATGATTCGTATGAATCATATGTTTTTTTTTTTTTGGTATGCATTTTTTACTCTCTGTGTAAACTATATATATGTGTAATCACTGGATTATTATTATTTTTCTTTGAATTAGGATTTGTCTGATGATCCAAACGGGGTTCGATCGATCGGAAGGTCCGTACTCGGTCTCAAATTGGATCCGTTGAAGCCGAGACTCGACCAGATCAAAAAGCAAGCCGACGATCATCGATCTCTTGTTCTCAATTACGCCGCATATGCTCGGAAGCTCAAGCTCGAGAACTCCAAGCTTGTTAGGGTTTTCCATGATCTCTCTCGCAATTATACAGATCTGATCACGAAACCTCCCTACAGTTCTCTGTTCGGCAAGTATTGGAACTCATTTGATGAAGCCAAGGTATGGCAGTTCGAGAAGGCGGTCAAAGAACGGATCAAAGCCACTCGGAAAGTCATCGCAGAGGCGAAAGAGTCTTTCGACAATCAGCTCAAAATTCAGAAGCTGAAGGATACGATTTTCGCGGCAAATGAGCTGGTCTCGAAGGTGAAGAAGCAAGGGGCGTACTCGAGTTTGATTGCCGCGAAATCGATTCCTAAGAGCCTGCATTGCCTCACAATGAGGTTAATGGAAGAGAGAATTGAGCATCCAAACAAATATTCCGACGAAGGAAAGACAATGCCTCCAGAATTGGAGGATCCAAAACTCTACCACTACGCCATTTTCTCCGATAATGTGATTGCAGCGCCTGTTGTGGTGAATTCTGCAATCAAGAACTCGAAAGAGCCATGGAAGCATGTGTTCCATGTTGTGACTGATAAGATGAATCTCGGAGCAATGCAGGTTATGTTCAAGATGAGGGACTACAATGGAGCTCATGTTGAAGTGAAGGCAGTGGAGGATTACAAGTTCTTGAACTCTACGTATGTTCCCGTGATTCGACAGCTTGAGTCGGCAAATATGCAGAGCTTTTACTTTGAGAATAGGGTTGAGAACGCAACAAAAGATGCAAACAACATGAAATTTAGGAACCCCAAATACTTATCCATCCTGAATCATCTGAGGTTCTACTTGCCAGAAATGTACCCGAAATTGCACAGAATTTTGTTCTTGGATGATGATGTGGTTGTTCAGAGGGATTTGACAGGCTTGTGGAAGATAGATATGGATGGGAAGGTTAATGGAGCTGTTGAGACTTGTTTTGGATCATTCCATAGATATGCACAGTACATGAACTTCTCACACCCTTTAATCAAAGCCAAGTTTAATCCAAAGGCGTGCGCATGGGCTTATGGGATGAACTTCTTTGATTTAGATGCTTGGAGAAAGGAGAAAAGCACACAACAGTATCACTACTGGCAGAAACGGGTGAGATTGATTTTTTTTTAATATTGCTATTCGTTTGTTAATTCATAACACAAATAGTAATTAACTCTACTATATAGTCGTATAGTTTTTAATTCACAGCCCTTAGAATTAATCTAGAGTTAACTTTGAGGGTTACAATATTAAACTTATGAACCATGTTTTGTTGCCAAAATGATGAGGGACCTCCCAAATAATTGGGATAAAAGTAGTTGTGCGAGTGTATAGGACTATCTATGTTTTACATGGGACTCTACAACCATACACATGAAGAAAGATCTTCCCTCTGTGTTATATTTTTGTTCTATTCTAATTTTTGTTTTTCATTTTTTTTTTTTCAAAAGTTCAAGTAAGCGTCCACACCCCCATAATATTATCCTAGCAGGGCTTGAAAACATTACCTTTCGAAAGGAGAGATCATTTCATCTGAACTAATGCCCATTAGTTTTATTCCAAATTATGTGTGGATGTTCTGCTATTATCGTGGTACTTTGTTTATTGCAAAATTGATTTTGCTTGATCACTTACAGAAATGCTGAATTTTGTTGCAGAACGAGAACCGGACCTTGTGGAAATTGGGGACATTGCCCCCCGGCCTGATCACATTTTATTCCACAACAAAGCCACTGGACAAGTCTTGGCATGTTCTGGGGCTTGGCTATAATCCAAGCATAAGCTGGGATGAGATTCGTAATGCTGCAGTTGTGCACTTCAACGGGAATATGAAGCCATGGCTTGATATTGGCATGAACCAGTTCCGGCCACTTTGGACAAAGTATGTTGACTATGACATGGAGTTTGTTCAGGCCTGCAATTTCGCTCTCTAAATCAATGGTCGTAGTTGAAACCTTGCTTGGGGATCTGCCAAAGCTAGTCCTGCCTGCTGCAAGCATCTGTTCTTTTAGACTCCCAACTTTTTCTTACATGTAAATCAAGTTTTCATGTATTTGCATTTAGAATTTTCATCTCCATCCAACATAGCCATTCTTCTTTGCTTTATTATTATTATTTTTAGGATTCTGCTTCCAAATGTTCATATGTGTTTACAATTTGACTTTTCTTTGCTGAATATTTATTCTTTAATTGATCTTTTAGATTTTAGAAATCTCATTTTATACATACATACATACAGATATATATATATAAATATTTATATGGTGGTAATCAACATTGCTGATTGTGCATCGGTACTTGTGAGTTTAAGTATGTGATAATGCAATGGACTGTTTGCTAACAGAATCAGTTTGTAGGAAATCTACATAGAGATTATGAGAAATTCTAGTGTGGGAGAACTTTGTAAAATTGGCTAAAATCATCTCATTTTAGGCACTGTGTCGTATAGTTTTTGGTTTGAGTAGCATCTAGATACGAGCACAGGTTCTTTAAAAGGTTGTCCTCATTGTTCCATTCTGAGATATTTTTCGTTTTTTTTTTTGTAGGGCATTTGAGCTCTCCTGGCCCGTGAATTTGCCATGTTGCTAGAATGATTTCTTGTATAAGAAAAACTGAGATTTTAATTCACAAAAAAAAAAAATATTTAAAACCTATCCATTTGCTGAACATTTGTTGTGTAAGGAACAAGAATACTAATATGAGTGGGTTGACGTGTTAAGTTAAACTTAACTTCTTCAACACAAGCTTTTTAATTCGAGGCTAACCCAAATCTCTATACTCCTTTTATTTTTTATCTTTGCTTGTTTGTTTGTTGAAAATGAATCCAATGACACTACAATAGATGGATGAGACATTCTTGAAATGAAATTATTAGAAATGTATAACAATTAAGTTATTTTTATTTCGCCTTTTTACAATTTTGGTTGCAGTTAGCCCATAATATACCCAGTTCTATTTCTTATTTTAATAATAGAATATCATATTGTCAATTTTGCACTTTTTAAATCAGTTTATCCACTATCACTCCTGAATAAATTAAAGCTGGTCCAGTATAAAAATGTCTACTCTAGTATAAAAATGTTTCATAGATTCATGCAGAAAAATGATTTTGTTACTATGTTAAAATAAAATATATTTGTTCATGTCACATCACAAATTATATAAAAAAATTTAGATTTTAGTACCTTTTTGTCCAAAATTATGTGTGTGTATATATATATATGAAAGAAAATTGAATCATTGAAATTACCTTTAGTTTTCTCCAATTGCCTCATTATTAAATATTGTCTCAAACTTAAAAGAAAAAATATTGAATTTTTACCTAGCATCAAATATATAAAACCCAGTAGTATATAATTATTTTTTTCTGAATCAGTAATATATAATTATATCAATAAAATAAATGAAATTAACATGAATAATCATGAAAAAATGATTTGAAAACATAACTCATGAAATCCACTCACAAGAAAGATACTTCATATCAATAAAGTAAAATAAATTAACATGAATTACCATTACAAATGATTTGCACGCATCACTCGTGAAATGCATTGACACGAAGCCAACTTTTGAGTAATTACAAACGTAATATTTTCTTCAATCATAATTTTTTTTGTTAAACTAATATGTCATTAACCTAATGGTATAACCTCCCTACTTCATACAAAAGGATAGGAGTTCTAACATGGGTCGGAAAATGTGTGTTAATATATATACTAACCTGATATAAAGAAAGATGAAGTAATTTTTTATTTTTTTTTCTAAAAATTGTCAAAAGAATTTATTAAGAGTCAACTTTAAGGTAAAAATTAAGATTTCATCACAATATGTTTATAAATCCCGATCTCATCACTCAATTTATTGAACAATATGTTTATAAACTTATTAATCATGTTTTTATTGCACAATTGCACTATAAAGATAAGGCTTTTTCCCATTGAGAATTTCTGGCAAACTTATGAACTCCCTATCAAATAAAAATTATATATACTTCAACAAAAATTGAATCATTCACATCACCTCTTAGTTTTCTTCAATGTCTCGATATATAATATTTTGTCTTAAAGTTTGAATACCATCAATATTGAATTTTAGTGCTACTATTTACTTGCAAAAAAAATAAATGGCATTACCATGACAAAATGATTTGCACAGAACTTATGCGTTCACAGCCATTGAGCCGCGTTTGAGTAATTACAAAAGTATCTTTTTCTCAATCACAAATTTTTATTTATTTATCTTTTTGATTTTTTAAAATTAATTTAATGTAAATAAAATAAATAAAAAAAAACTATAAACTGTAGTTAGAATTGTCACTTTTCAAGATATTTAACCTCTATCCGGGTCTTAAATTCACAGCGCTTAAACATGGAAAATTATTTATTTTAAGAATTAACTTTAATAGGTTTGGTTTGGCTTTTTCACGATTCGGTTCAATTTCGGTTTTAAAAATGTGAAACTGTTTATAAACACGGTTCGGTAACCAAACCGAACCGAACTGTTTTATAAATTGTATATATATTTATATATTTTATATTATATAAATAATAAAATAATAAGATTAGCCCTTTAAACATTCAAAGTATATATCATAATATATAATTAAAAATATATTATATATAACTTTGTACGATCTTTCAATGGAAATGACGAATTAACATATACATCAAAATGATCTTTTTCTCTCATAATCGGAACGGTTTGGTTCGGCCTAGTTCCAATAGTTTCATGATTAGATTCTAAGTATTATAGAACCGTTAGGAACTATTTAATTCTAAATTTGTAACGACCATAAACTGTTACCATTTAAAAAAAATTCGACATGACCTCCCCTAAAATGGGCCTACCACAACCTGTTTAAAAGAATTTTAAACCTGTCCCAACACAAATATCATATAATACACTCCATGGTGGTACAACCACATACTCTATCATCCAAATATCATATTTACAGTCCCAAAATTTAGTTACAATAACAAGAGTTCACAAATCTCTATACCAAATATAACAAACTAAGATTTTACCAAAAAAATATGGGACGTTGTGGCGACCCGAACCCGTAGGTCCGAACCGTTAGCCGGGTCCTTAACCAAACCCAAGATTAACTAGGGACAACACCATTCTTTCCTACATCAATACATATTATACGTGTCATTCCGGGTTTTAAAAAAATAAGTAATAATAAATAAATAATAATAATAATAAAATGCGATTATAGCTACAAAGTATGTCAAAACGGTCTACTAACCCATCGAACCTTGTGGAGGAGCGTCGTCCGCCACTTGTCATCCGTGTCTTGAAAAATGTTAAAATGATGGGGTGAGCTAAACGCTTAGTAAGAAGTGTCTAAGACACGCTTCTTGTGACCCCGTGAATCCACATAGAGAATAGAAAGCAAGAGGACGAGATCATATCTCGGGAATCAAGTAAAACCACTGTATCATCAACAAACATACATATCTCAACCCATTACCAAATGCACCACGTATGCTAATAATGTGCCATGCCATGCAATGTCACTCCCCGTTTCCGAAACTATACCGTTTCAACTTCCAAACCGTTAGTGTAATCTGACCCAAGGCACCTCCAAGGTGTCACGAAAGGGGGATTGGCTAACCATCCACCACCACAAGGCACCTCCAAGGCGTCGCATCCGGCCTGGTCCGCTCAATCACACTAGGGTCTCTCCCTAGTCCCCTCTCTAGACCACACTAACACTACGGACCACTAGGCGCCTCCTAAGCGTCCGGGTTTTCACAAATACTTTTCAAAAACTTTTCCCCAAAACAATTTCATTGGTTTTAAAAATATATATTTTTCCCCTTTTTCTTTCTCAATGGATGCATAAATGCTTCATGATTCCAAATGCCAAATTCAACAACTATATTCCATACATTTTACCCATATCATAATCACAACTTGTAAAAGAATATTTTAAACATTTATTTCTACGATCATGACATCAAATTTCTATGGCAATTGAAATATATAAAGTAAACACCTTGTCATTTCTAAGCATGCTTCTTCACTTCAAGGATGTAACTAAATTTACAAACTCATTTATCACATAACATATATCCACCACTTTACATATAATCTACCACAATCACATAGTCAAAATAATTGAAGTTAAACATGCTTATACTCAATTTAAGAAGGAAAATTCACATTGAACCTAAGAAATTGTGAATTAGAACACCCCTACCTCAAAAGTAGCCAAAATATATCCCCGACCGGAAAAGTCAACGCCGGTCGACAAAAGTCAACGCCGGTCAAAGGCGTAACGGAAAACTGTTCTGTGGGAACGTAGCCGTCGACGAGGTGATTCTACTGTTCCAAAGGGTCATCTCCGGAATCCAACTCCAAGTGGCCCAAAACCCCATCCGAAGTCTTAGATCGGAAAATTTCAAAAAATCATAAAATAATCACCACTCCTCAGAAAATTAAATCCTTTGACTATGTGATAGAGAACGACGAGATGAACATTTTCTATCAAGAGCCATGACCGGAAACCCGACCGTTTGGCCAAAAAATGAAGGAGAATATTTGAAGCTCAAGAAAAGAAAAAAAAAAAAAAAGAAAAACAAAAACAGAGGGAGAGCGTTTGACGAGAAAGAAAAAGAATGAGAGCTTCATTCTGCCAAAATAGCCTAAAGAAAATTAAAAAGAATGATAAGGTGGGTCCCACCATTTTTCTTTTCTTTTCTCTTTTTCTTTTGCTTCTGTTTTACACCACACACACATATATATACATACACCTATTAAATTACAATCATATAGAACACATTAAATAAAATGATTATGATGGAAATGGACCCAATTAAAATTTTCGTATGCAACAGTCCCGGTAGCGGGTCCCACATGGAACCCTCCGGCCCGAAAAATAGAAAACTGCCAAAATGGTTACCCTTACATGTCAAAGAGTCCTGGACTCAATGAAATGCTCCAAACAACTCTCGAACACAACCGGCAAACTCCGTAGTGCCCGATACGTAAAACGATAAAAGACGAAAATATCCTTGAAATAACAAAAATTCCAAAAAAAAAAAAATGATGAAAAATAGAAATATTATAATCTACCCTCCTTAAA